ATTGAAGAGCCGCTGTGTCCCTCAAGATCTTCAATTTGAAACGTCCCTCCGGATTTGAACCGTTGGCAGACAGTTCCAGTATACAGGTGTTTACTGAAAAGAGAAAGATCATTAACATGAACACCAACATTCATCACAGGCTTACCGGACTTAGGAGGAGTTGGTTTGGGTTTTTGTGATTCGGTGGTTCCTTTGTATTGAGACTTATCACATTTATCTATGGTATGTCCATAGAGTCTACAATACTTACAGTACAATTGCGAACCAGCTTGATCGGTACTCACTTTCTCGTAACTGTACCAAGACTTCTTACTGGAAGATGGTTCTGGTGTCAGCCGGTGGATGAGGCTGTAAGTGTCAGCCGACTTAGCACACTTCAGGTAGTCGGTTTCTTCCTTATCTGCTAAATATAGACGGACAGGAGGCGGCACACGCCTCAAGAATTCTTCAACTAGCATCAGGTTGACGAGTTCTGCAAAGGTAGAGAAATGTGCTGCTTCCAGCCATTTCATAAAATATCTCCTTTTGGTGTTAGCAAACTCGAGAAAGGTAGTGGTACTTGCCTTCAGGTGGTCACGGAATTTCCTTCGATAACTTTCGGTGGAGAGAAGGTAGGCGTCGAACACTGCTTGTTTCAGAGTCTGGTAGTCATTCTCAGACGCCAAAGTACTGAGTATGACTGCAGCTCTACCTGTAAGATATACTCTGAGAAGGGTGGCCCATTGGTCGGCAGGCCAACTAAGTTGATTAGCAAGAGTTTCAAAGGTGGTGAAAAACACGTCAACTTCTGTTTCTACGAATGATGGCATTAACTTACTTGCATGTGATATATTAAAACTGATGGGAAGATTGGCGGTAGCTTGCTGGCGTTGAGCGAGGTGTGAAGTTTCCAACGCGAATTCTCGTTGACGACATTCCATAGCCAGAGTTGCGTTTTGCTTGTCATGTTCGTGTTGCATCTCCAACTGGCGTCGTTTTGTTTCAAGCTGTATTCGTTCACGTTCACGGAGTATTGCAATCTCACGTTCTTGTTCTTCCTTCCTCAAGGCAGCCTCACGTTCTTGTTCTTCCCTTCGTATGGCAGCTGCTTCCCTTTGCTGCTCGCGTTCAATCTTGGCCAGCTCTATTTTGAGTTTCATTGTTGCCAAATCAGTTTTTATCTGCAATAAAGTAAGTTTCGTGAGTTTCAGAGTCTATCTTACCTTGCTCTAAGAAATGATCCAGTAACAGGTTGTGTATCTCATTTTTGTTGGCTTGGTAGGGAACTTCTAGTTGATACTCATGTGCAAGAGTTTGTAATTCAGTCCTCTTGGCACGACTTAAAGTCCCTATTTCACCTGTTGGATCTGCACGGAAAGCTTGGAGACGAAACATGGTGAAATTAGCAAATAAATGCACAACGAATATACCGTTGTGATATAGTGAATGTCAGAAACAGGACAACGTGGCAACTGGTACCTATCCTGTGGAATCTTTAACAATTAAAGTTAATTACAAGATGTTAAATGATTAATTAAATCATGGTCGCAGGAAATCTTGTAGCCGGTACTCATGTAAGAGGATAAGGGCAAGAAAATCCTACTAAACAAGCAAAACTGAGTTTCTAAAACAAATGAAACAGTTAATTGCCTCAAAAGTAAAATTGGTAGTCCAAGAATGTAGGCATACCTTGCCGAGTCTCTATAGGACATAAGCAAGTTTTTCCCACTGAAATTAATATGATACTTACAAAATTAGCGAACTTTTGTGCTCTGAAAAAGAAAGCTAATTCCCTACCAATGTATGTATCATCATCTCTGACCGACGTGTTGGGGTGCGAGGTGTCAACTGGTGACGAGAACTGCTGCTGAGGTCCCAATTCAGCAACTAAAGTTCGTGCTAGAGGAACTATGGCCCTCTTTATCCTCTTACTGTCAGATTGCAGAAGATTAGGTGCACTTGACCCGGGGGCAGACCTCAGTTCCAGGGTACCAATATGATGATCTGTCGAAAATATGAGAAATATCCTAGGGACAAAAGATGGTAAACACGAGTAATAACACGGAGGGAGAGATGACCAATTAAGAGTATGACTGAGGCCTACAGTCACCACGTAATCCAAAATTATCTCACCTTCACCATATGCTACTCTCTGAATGCACAATACACACAGCACCATATAAAAATAAAATTGAATATGAAAAATAGTAAAAAGCTACGTTACCAAAGCCAAATACGCTTACCATAAATTACTACTTGGCACCAGTACCTGAGTGAAACTCCTAGGGCAGGCCCCCACTTAATGTGACGGTAAAGCGTTGGTGTTCGGCTGTTTCAAAAGCTAGGGGCAGGGCCTCGTCACATTAAAAAAAAAAAAGGAGAAAAAGCTGGAACTTTCGTCAGTGGTAAGGTAATGAGAAGACACACAAAACACAAGTAAATTTAACAATGAAATTTTAATTACGTTAGAAAAACAAGACATGGATAAAATTAAGCATAAAATATACAAGGCAAGTCAACAAACAAAATAATAAGAATAATCACTGGCAAATGAAAAGTTACGTTAAGACAAGTGAGTTATAGCAAAATAAATAATAATGATGCCGGATTATTGGCTTCGAGCTGCCACCTCCCTTAGTACACGAAAGCCAAGGCTTAGTCTACCAATGAGAGATGTCAACTGCAAGGAGCACTGGGATATTCTGACGACTCTGGGCCACTGCAGCCCAGACATCAACTTGTGGCGGAGGGCGGAGGGCAGGTGCGACGGGACACCAGCCAATCAGCGACAGGCAGGCAATGGACAAGCAGTTTGCCGGTTTACGGTGGCGGTGGCGAGCAGGTGTGCCGGTGTGCTGGATACGTTTTACTCTCTGGGCAAAACGTTATGTAGATACTTGCTGGATATATTTTCTATATTATCTGTTGTTGTTACGTACTTTGAAGGGAAGAGCAGGCTCAATCTCTCTTGAAAGAGATTATCGTCACAATATATATATATATATATATATGTCGTACCTAGTAGCCAGAACGCACTTCTCAGCCTACTATGCAAGGCCCGATTTTCCTAATAAGCCACGTTTTTATGAATTAATTGTTTTTCGACTACCTAACCTACCTAACCTAACCTAACCTTACTTTTTCGGCTACCTAACCTAACCTAACCTATAAGGATAGGTTAGGTTGAGTTAGGTAGGGTTGGTTAGGTTCGGTCATATATCTACGTTATTTTTAACTCCAATAAAAAAAAATTGACCTCATACATAATGAAATGGGTAGCTTTATCATTTCATAAGAAAAAAATAAGAGAAAACATATTAATTCAGGAAAACTTGGCTTATTAGGCAAATCGGGCCTTGCATAGTAGGCTGAGAAGTGCGTTCTGGCTACTAGGTACGACATATATATATATATATATATATATATATATATATATATATGTCGTACCTAGTAGCCAGAACTCACTTCTCAGCCTACTATTCAAGGCCCGATTTGCCTAATAAGCCAAGTTTTCCTGAATTAATATATTTACTATAATTTTTTCTTATGAAATGATAAAGCAACCCTTTTCTCTATGTATGAGGTCAATTTTTTTTTATTGGAGTTAAAATTAACGTAGATATATGACCGAACCTAACCAACCCTACCTAACCTAACCTAACCTCTATTTATAGGTAAGGTTAGGTTAGGTAGCCAAAAAAAGCTAGGTTAGGTTAGGTTAGGTCGGTTAGGTAGACGAAAAAACATTAATTCATGAAAACTTGGCTTATTAGGCAAATCGGGCCTTGAATAGTAGGCTGAGAAGTGCGTTCTGGCTATTAGGTACGACATATATATATATATATATATATATATATATATATATATATATATATATATATATATATATATATATATATATATATATATATATACATATATATATATATATATATATATATATATATATATATATATATATATATATATATATATATATATATATATATATGTTGTACCTAGTAGCCAGAACGTCGTACTCGGCCTACTATGCAAGGCCCGATTTGCCTAATTAGCCAAGTGTTCCTGAATAAATATATTTTATCTAATTTTTTTCTTATGAAATGATAAAGCTACCCATTTCATTATGCATGCGGTCAATTTTTTTTATTGGAGATAAAATTAACGTAGATATATGACCGAACCTAACCAACCCTACCTAACCTAACCTAACCTATCTTTATAGGTTAGGTTAGGTAGCTGAAAAAGTTAGGTTAGGTTTGGTTAGGTAGGTTAGGTAGTCGAAAAACAATTAATTCATGAAAACTTGGCTTATTAGGCAAATTGGGCCTTGCATAGTAGGCTGAGAAGTGCGTTCTGGCTACTAGGTACGACATATATATATATATATATATATATATATATATATATATATATATATATATATATATATATATATATATATATATATATATATATATATAAGCCTATACTTGCATAAACCACAAGTGAAGATTAACAATCTTTGGACTACACCCACCAGTGGGCCTCGAACCCAGAACGCACAACTACCTTCCAGTAGCTGCCTTAACTAGTACGCCTTAACCCACTACACCATCAGACCCTACAAAAGAAGTAGAGACTTCGAGATATATACACACCTCAAATATCTCCACTTCCCGAGGGCACTAGACAAGTGAAAGGTTACTCTGCGTTTTTCATCAAGCCAATGTTAATGTGAGAGAACTCGTGTCCATGCTATAAGCCTATACTTGCATAAACCACAAGTGAGATTAACAATCTTTGGACAACACCCACCAGTATATATATATATATATATATATATATATATATATATATATATATATATATATATATATATATATATATATATATATATATATATATATATATATATTGATGGTCATCTGTGAACATTAATTTGTTATTTACCGGGTTTAATATATGTAAGGTCACACAAATATATGAATAATGTATCTTACATATTGTTTAAATGTTAAATATTGAATAAAAATAAACTGTTGTGTACTACAGTTTATTTACTGCTACAGTAGTTTATTACCACTTAAGTAATAAAGTAATAAGTCACGTCATATTGAACAAATATTGACACTTAGCATTGTGAACAATAACAAAGTTTATATTAGTTAAATCATGTAATAATGTGAACTACACCCAACACAGGCCGCGATCCCCCAGGAGTCACCTCAACTATGTGGTTCCCCAGTGTCAGGGACACGAAGCCTACTACTGATGACCTTACCCATGATACAACCCACAACAGTTGACTAAATCCCAGGTACCTATATACTGCTCGGTGCACAGAGGCATCAGGTGAAAGGGAACGTTCGAAATGCGTCTCAGTTCTGCCCGGGGATCGAGCCTCGGATCTTTGGATGCAAGCTGAGGATGCAGACCACTATATTTTATTCTGGCATGAACGTATATTTATTTAATCTAATCTGCAAATGAAATATTTCCTTCATAAGCTTTATACAAACATGGATACCATCATGACACTAACACACTGTAAGCTTAACAACCATCGCTGATCCTCCCTGGCAGAGAGTGATTAGGGAACCACAAACCTGCCGGCAAACACCACTATTCCTGCTCTTCGGTCTATAATGTAGAACATGAATGGATGGTCAGCAACGAAGACGGCAGGATTCGGACGGTAACAAAAAGTCACCATCCCCATACCTGATGAAGATAAATATATATTACTACCATAAATATTAGTCAGTTGTGGAAAGATATCAAGGAGTTAGCTCCAATATACTCACCCTGTGTATATTGTTCCCTCCAATATACTCTCCCTGTGTATATTGTTCCCTCCAGTATACTCTCCCTGTGTATATTGTTCCCTCCAGTATACTCTCCCTGTGTATATTGTTCCCTCCAGTATACTCTCCCTGTGTATATTGTTCCCTCCAGTATACTCACCCTGTGTATATTGTTCCCTCCAATATACTCTCCCTGTGTATATTGTTCCCTCCAGTATACTCTCCCTGTGTATATAATTACCTCCAATATACTCTCCCTGTGTATATAATTAGCTCTGTCTCTGCCCGTGTATATAGTTAGCTGTAACTGCCTCTGCCCGTGTACATAGTTAGCCATAACTACCTATGCCCGTGTATATAGTTAGCTAGAATCTACCTCTGCCCCGAAATCCCCGAAATCATCTCAAGATAACCTCAAGATAACACCTTAAATAAAGTTGGATGTTATGAAATGCGGAACCAAAAGTACGTAGAGTTTATCTTACGTTTAAACCTGATATATTTATAATAAAAAAAATGTCATTCAGCAATTACTTTATTCACTCTCGTGTTCTTGAAGATATCCTCACAGTGTACCCAAAATTTGCCAGTGCCGGCTACTAAACACATGGCCCTGTATGACTAACCATCCTGCGAGATGGTGACTTTTATTACCACTGCTACCTTATTCACTATATGTATATATATATATATATATATATATATATATATATATATATATATATATATATATATATATATATATATATATATATATATATATATATTATATATATATATATATATATATATATATATATATATATATATATATATATATATATATATATATATATATATATATATATATATATATATATATATATAGGCACAACTCTCCTAAACACGAGAGTGAAGTATACAACTTTAGAACACTTTCCCACCAGGAGACTTGAACCCTAGCCAGCACAGAAGCCTTCCAGCAACTGGCATAACAGGTACGCCTTAACCCACTCCACCACCTGCTCAGACCCTTAAAAGAGATGGTAATTTCGGAGTATTTATACACTCCAAAGACCACCACCTCCCAAGAGCACTAGAGCAAGTGAGGGGTCATATTTACGTGTTTTCATCAAGTCCCTGTTAATATGGGAGAACACTGTGTCTATGCTTAAGGCACAACTCTCCTAAACACGAGAGTGAAGTATACAACTTTAGAACACTTTCCCACCAGGAGACTCGAACCCTAGCCAGCACAGAAGCCTTCCAGCAACTGGCATAACAGGTACGCTTTAACCCACTCCACCACCTGCTCAGACCCTTAAAAGAGATGGTAATTTCGGAGTATTTATACACTCCAAAGACCACCACCTCCCAAGAGCACTAGAGCAAGTGAGGGGTCATTTTTACGTTTTTTCATCAAGTCCCTGTTAATATGGGAGAACACACTGTCTATGCTTAAGGCACAACTCTCCTAAACACGAGAGTGAAGTATACAACTTTAGAACACTTTCCCACCAGAAGACTCGAACCCTAGCCAACACAGAAGCCTTCCAGCAACTGGCATAACAGGTACGCCTTAACCCACTCCACCACCTGCTCAGACCCTTAAAAGAGATGGTAATTTCGGAGTAATAAAACGGTAATTTTTTTAATATATATATATATATATATATATATATATATATATATATATATATATATATATATATATATATATATATATATGCGAACAAGCCTGAATGGTCCCTAGGACTATCTCCTTATGAGTTTTCAGTCATATATATATATATATATATATATATATATATATATATATATATATATATATATATATATATATATATGTATATATATATGTATATATATATATATATATATATATATATATATATATATATATATATATATATATATGTATATATATGTAATATATATATATATATATATATATATATATATATATATATATATATATATATATATATATATATATATATATATGACTGAAAAACTCATAAGGAGATAGTCCTAGGGACCATTCAGGCTTGTTCGCATATATATATATATATATATATATATATATATATATATATATATATATATATATATATATATATATATATATATATATATATATATAATATATATATATATACCATTCTTGTAAAGCATGCATAGCGTTTCGGGTGGGTCTTTAAATATAATATAAATACAATTTATATATAAATAACTCGAGCAGTGGCAGGTGAGACAGAGTAATAGATTTAAAAGCACTCAGGTGCGTGTGTTGGAGTGATGGGTGTGGCTGCCCCCCCCCCCCCTCACACCACACCTCTCACCTCTCACCTCTCACTCTACCCCTCACTGTCTCTCACCTCTCACTCCACTCCCCCCTCACCCTCCATCAATAACAATACGTCATTAGGTATTCAAACTCTCTTCCCTAAAAATAATAAAAAACTAATCGAATTTAATTATTAATCCAAAAATCACATAATTCAGTAATTACACCTTCGTTGTACTATGCACAAATAAACTCACTACCTCAGATAATCATTTCAGTCATTCGAAATATGAATAGCAAATATATCTGAATATATTTCCAATCACAACCAGCTAGCATATAATTTCATTCGGTCATACCTCACCTTGTCAAATTGTCATTTATTCTCACTATATAAACACACATTAAAAATGGATCTCACAAATATCTAGCCTCATGCAGGTCGGCGTTCAATCCCCAATTGTTCACCAGTGGTTGGGCACCATTCCTTCCCTTCCCCATCCCATCCCAAATCCTTATCCTCACCCCCCTTCCCAGTGCTATATAGTCGTGATGGCTTGGCGCTTTCCCCTGATAATTCCCCCTCACTCTGATGATATGCTTTATTTTATTCGCTGTGATCACTGGATGGCAACACCGCCTTGGTATATACGGATTGTTAGCCTCGACAATCAATCTCAACTCTTAGGGTCAAACAATCAATCTCAACTCTTACGCTCGCGGTCTTACTCTTACATTACGGGCTCACCATAGCCCGTGCTACATGGACACTTCGTCCTGAGTAGCTAAATCTTTAACAACAACATACTCTTACCAGAATGCATACTCCTACCAGGTAGAAAGGCGGGGGCCCAAGAGCTAAAGCCCGACTCCTCTAAAGTCCACTACACAAGTGTATTTATTTTAAAATAAGTGTGTACATACTTACATATGAAGATGTGCGTATATGCATGCATATGTGCGAACATACACATGTGGGTATAAGCCCAATATGTTCCTCGCAGATAAAATCGGACATACACACAAAAATGTATGTGCAGATATACACGTAAACATGTAAGGACATTCGCACAAAAGTATATGCGTACATATACGCTCATATAAACACACACACAAGTATATGTGGGACATATATATACGCTGACATAAGCCCCCAATAGACTTGAGAATGGTCCAGGACGGACCGAAACGTCCTGGACCACTAGAAAGTGAAGGGACGCCGTCGTCCCTTCACTTTCTAGTGTGTGGCTTGGTTAACATACTTCAGCCACGTTATTGTGACTCCTCTACGCACAGCCAAATGAACAAAAAGCGCAGCCAAGACGGTGAACTGATGAACGTGGAGGTGATGGGAAGGGTAGACAGAACATGGTTGCGTCTCTCCCTTCATTACCTACGTGAGACGGTTGCTCCCTTCCCTCTCCCTTCGGTTGCTACGTGACAACGTTGGTTGGTGAGACATAAGGAGACGAGTGCTGGAAGTCTTAGCTAGAAGCTGTGACTGATGGAATAGTACATTATTGTCAAGAAATATGTTGGTTGCCCTTTCCCACACACACACACACACATACACACACACACTAGTAATGAAGATAGGTGTAGGGAGCAGGAGGCCAAATACAAGGTATCATCTGGGAGAGGAAATTCTTCAGGAGTCAGAGAAAGAAAAAGACTTGGGAGTTGATATCACGCCAGACCTGTCTCCTGCAGCACATATCAAGAGGATAACATCAGCGGCATATGCCAGGCTGGCCAACATACGAACGGCATTCAGAAATTTGTGTAAAGAATCATTCAGAACTTTGTATACCACATATGTCAGGCCAATTCTGGAGTATGCAGCCCCAGCATGGAGTCCATATCTAGTCAAGGATAAGACTAAACTGGAAAAGGTTCAAAGATTTGCCACCAGACTAGTACCTGAGCTGAGAGGTATGAGCTACGAGGAGAGACTGCGGGAATTGAACCTCACTTCGCTGGAAGACAGAAGAGTTAGGGGGGACATGATCACTACATTCAAGATTCTGAAGAGAATTGATAGGGTAGATAAAGACAGGCTATTTAACACAAGGGGCACACGCACAAGGGGACACAGGTGGAAACTGAGCGCCCAATTGAGCCACAGATATATTAGAAATAACTTTTTTAGTGTCAGAGTGGTTGACAAATGGAAGGAAGTGATGTGGTGGAGGCTGACTCCATACACAGTTTCAAGTGTGCATATGATAGAGCCCAATAGGCTCAGGAATCTGTACACCTGTTGATTGACGGTTGAGAGGCGGGACCAAAGAGCCAGAGCTCAACCCCCGCAAACACAACTAGGTGAGTACAACTAGGTGAGTACACACACACACACACACACACACACACACACACACACACACACACACACACACACACACACACACACACACACACACACACACACTCACACACACACACACACACACACACACACACACACACACACACACACACACACACACCCACACACCCACACACACTCACACACTCACACACACTCGCACACACTCACAGTTTCATACACAGTTTCAAGTGTAGATATGATAGAGCCCAATAGGCTCAGGAATCTGTACACCAGTTGATTGACGGTTGAGAGGCGGGACCAAAGAGCCAAAGCTCAACCCCCG